GCCACTCAGAGGACCTCTGTGTGGTTCCGTAAGACTATCCTATGGCAGGACGGGATCAAGCGCAAAGCCAAGAAGCAGCAGAACACGCAGCTGACCACACCTCCTCTAAGTTACGGTTCCAAGCTTAGGGTAGGTGCGCTGAACGTACAGGGCTTTGCAGACACGCTCAAACTGAAAAACGTAATACAACTTACCTGGAAAGCCTGGTGTGCGTTTATTTCCGCCACTTCCAAAAGTGCCGCTTTTAAGGGTTCAAAACCGCCACTGGCCCGAGGGTGCAAAGTTGCATGTTTTATGGGTCCTATGACTCATCCTTCATAAACACTGCCCCCGATGAAGATCATCGTGAACCCGAAGCCAAACACAAGATAATAGAAACAGTTACCTATGCAAGCACCTTGCGAAGACATCAACCCGTGACTCCACTCGCAAGCGAATAGCAGAAACCGCTAGAAACCCCACTCAAAATCCATCCTTTATCGGCACGCGGGCTGCTGCAGCTTCTGGTGCTGTCTCCGATCGAGGACCGGCGAGGGCACGACAACTCACCATACCGTGGGGAGTGCAAGGGAGTATTTTCGAAGCGTTCTGGTATGAAGTTTTCTGCCGCTTACTGTCCTCGATATGGCACATACTCTTCCGATGAAGTCCTCGTCAATCTGGGTCCCACTTGCAAGCGGGTTCATCGATGGTAGGTCTCCCCGGCGCTCCCTTTCTAAGCGAAAGAGTATCTCTCCGATGCAATGCAATTTTGTCTGCATTTTCCATCTTGTCTTCTCCTGCCTGTAAGAGTAAAGGGCACACTGCTTGAAGTAGGACAACACAGCCCTTCCTGATGCAATAGACGTAGACCGGTCCCTGTCAGAAAGCCAGAAGCCACCATGGTACAAGGTTTTCATGAACACATTGCACTCTCGAATCATCTTAAGGATGAACCGAAAATACGATTTGTTCTCCTCCGCAATCGAGGATAGGACTTCGCCGACTTTGTGTTCCAAGTACAGCAAAAGCGTAGTCGTGTCAGCTCCTTTGAACCAAGACCTCGGAAAGAAAATTGCTGAATTACAACAGTATAGAACCTGAAATGCTCAAACCTCGTTCACCAAAACCCGAAACCATCCGAATCTGGCCCCGAGGCACGCAGTAGGGAAAGAATTTGAAGTGTCCCATCCCAGTGCACCACGAGTCAAACTGGTCATGTGCAGCTGCAAGCCATGCTGTGAGCAGTACTCTTTGCAATCATTGAAGATGGCATCCAGAGCTTTATCGACAGAAAGGCTCCCCAAGACCTTGTACTCGTATAAAGCAACCTGTGGATTTCAGGACAAGGCCATGAATCCAAGAAGTGGGTCACTTCCTAAGCAATCCTTACAAGTGAAAAGTTGCTTGTTGCTTGGAAGCGATGGTGTTCGCGGCAATATCACCCCAAACACCCTTGTGGGCACAATGGAACAGATCCAAGTGAAAGAACTCTGGTTTGTGCAGAGGACATTGAGGAATCAAAGAAATGAAGTGAGGCTCTTTCTTCCAAGGTGGCTCCAGGTCCTGCTTCATCCTCTCCATGTTGTCGAAACTGACATTGTGCCAGGCAAATCCTTCTTGACCACCACGGCACAGGTGGCAAATCCCCGGGCCACCAGTTTTCGTCGGGGTGTCCCTGGAAAAGTTTCGAGTCAATTCACCCAGCTTCACTAAGGCCGCTAGGTCTCCCTTCATCCCCAAGCAAACCAGGTATACTTTCCGAGGCTTTCCTCCCCACTCCATTGTGACAGGCTCCTCAAATAAGGAACCCATCTCTTTCGCAAAATGCTCCACCAGGTTAAGCAAGGGTTTGTTCTTCTTGAGCTTCCCGGAATAGACGTGAGATGCAAGGACTGAAAAGAGAAATCTCGTGCTAAGGCTGTTGCGGGTCATGTTCAGATCTGTGCTTCGGGAGCTGCCGTGACCAAGAATGGGTTGGTATTGGAGAACCATCAAACCCCTGCGCTTCTGCCCCGTGCCCTCGTCGGCATAAACGAACATCGGCACACACTGGTGCAGTCGACCTTTGCGACCATGTGTCATATAGATGGGGTGCTGCGGCTGAAGCAGGCGCCACATCTCCCAGAAATCCATGTAATCGGCCTCAGAGTGGCCGCAAAACAAAAGATCACCTTTTCCGCAATCCGAGAGTGTAGCCAGGAAATCTCGAATCCTAAACACAGGGTGCTGCACTTGTGTTCCGATATCCACATAGCTGATAGGAATATCGGCAGACAGTCTGAAGTTTTCGAAGGCATTGCCGAGGCGACAGGCATGTCCCGTCTGGGACAAGGTGGCGGCCTTTTGGATTAAATCAATGCTTGGCATAGACTCTGCCCCTGGTAGCTCCTTTACCTCTTGCCACACAGCCTCCATCAAGGAACAAGCATGTGCCTCAGAAACCTTAGCACGACTCGAAGCTTAGACAAAAATGGATTGCGGACATAGACACAACTGGCGTTTTGTGATAACAACGAAAAGAAGAATCCCGTTCTGAACTGTGCACCAAAGTACGCCCTTCACCACCGCTGTTCTCAATGCCTGAGCCACAGGACCATTCGTGCGCTGGCGCTTCTCGAGGCCACCTGCGAAGGATGTGAGGGTTGGGTGGCTTTCTGTAGAGTCTAGTTGCGACAGTAGTGCAGAGATGCGGCACCTTGATTTCAGTTACTCCCCGGCTGCACACTCTTCAGTGCTGTGCATATAGTTGGTATTCCCAACTTTCTGCCCAGCTTAATTTGGATCGCTCCACACTTGAAAGATGCCACTTCAGAAATCTGCGTGTGTAGGCAGCTCAACATGAATGACTAGACCGAGTATCTCACCAGCATGTTCTATGTCCGATGCCTACAGCACAGATCTGACCCCTGGAGCCACGCAGGACACGTCGCTATGCTGTCAGAAGCTCCACGCGTCGGAGGCTCGCCACAGTGCCAGCGATCGTCCTGGCAAGTCACACGGGAAGAGAAGTTTGCACCCTGGGTTTCGGGGCTCCTGAACCATCACTTCTTTGCCCTCTTGCCGGGCTTGCCAGCATCATCCGCNNGCCTTACCCTTACCGCCTCCCTTGCCACTCGGCTTGGGGGACACCTTCGGGGCAGCTTTGGCAACTGGCTTCAAGGTTGTCCTCAGCCAGAGGCATCAGGTAGCGGGGTCCAGATCTGGGTTTGAGATCAGGAAACAAACCAGGTATATGTGTGCATGTTTATGCGAAGGCAAGCAGCTTCTTGATCTTCACATCTTCCATGATGGCACGGCTGCACCTCAGCTAGGTCCCAATTTGGCAATGATCGGGGGCGGGAGCACCCGACATATTGAATGATCATGACAGACATCAGCTTTCAGTCTAAGCACGTGATTTCAACCTGCTGCATACACTTCTTGAGCAGCAGAGCTTTCCTCAGGTGGATGCAAGGATTCAGTTGTTGTGTGAGTTCAGGGCGGAGTGAAACCAAGCATTTCAGCCCAGGGTCTTTGCATCGAAATCTCCACCTCCATCGAAATGCGATTTCAAGTCGGCCAACTCATCGTGAAATTTCATCAAGGTGGTCTTGTGGGTACCCAGCTTATCGGCTGACCTGAGCGAATATGTTTTCAGCAGTTGATAACAACCCGCTGGAAAGAGCCGGGGGTAAACCAAAGTTAAGCGCAGCTTCTTCGTCGCGTCATCCGTGCCAATCTCCCGAAGCTTCTCTGCCGTGGAATCGAGGCGGGTGCACGTCTTCAGGATGTTCGTCATGACGGCTTTGACGTTCTCGATGTCCTCGACAGAGCCAAGTCTGCTATTGGGTGGGATCTAGTGTAGCACGGGCCATTAATTAGTATAAGGTATATAAGCAGGGTTCATGGTTCGCAATGCAGAACGTTTTGGGACTGTGCTCGAATCTTTGAATTGTATGTTGTCCTCCATAGCAGCTTCCTCGGCTGCTTTGTCGGGCTTGTCCTTGCGGGACCTGCTGTTGCTTTCGCGGTCGCCCTCGTCGTCACTCTCCTCTTCGTCCACGTCTTCGGTCTCTCCGGACATTTGCAACGGATCGTCCGCGGTCATGAGGCCACCGACAGAGACCTCATTGGCCTCCACTTCACCGGTCACCGACTCTTTGTACGATTCCGCTGCTTCCTCCTCGTACTTGCCGGAAATCTTAGTGTCCACCCAGTAGAGCTTGACCGAAGCTTCGTACTTGTCTCGTCTGGCAGGCAGGATGATTACAACAGGGTGTTTCTTTAGGATTTAAAATCTATGGTAGGGCTTCTCTAGGGGGTTTGTTCGCGCCTCACATGGGTCTTCACTCGCTTCGGCTGGGAGCAGTAGGCGACTGCACCGCGGATTCTCTCCCTTAGTCAGAGAGCAGAACGTTTTGGATTTGAGCCCAAATAAATGTTATTATGCTTTTGAGGTATAGCTATCTCTCTGTCTGTCTCTCTCCCACTCTCTCTCGCTCACTTACTGTCTGTCTGCATCTCACATAATGTATCTGACTATCTCTCTCTCTCTCTCTCTCTCTCTCTCTCTCTCGCCCACAGCCTCTTTGTGTGACAGCTGGCAGAAGAAGCACTGTAAGACCCTGGCGCAGTCCATCCCAAAACTTCCTTCATGTCCTTCTTGGAGTAAAAGCCAGCCTCCACAGTCATAGTTCGCTTCCTGGAGCGCTGCATCTGGATCTCAATCTTCTTCATGAAGACTGCCTGCACAGAGCTTGCAGTAATTGTGCTTGTTGTTTCTATTGGAACTTATTATTGCATCGATTGATTGGTGTCCTTGTCGCCATTGGCAGATATCAGCATGCTCAGGAGAACCTTTCTCTCTGCCCCGGCTTTCTTCCATTGGTCATGAATTTGCTGTGGAACATCCAGTTTTCCGGACTTCGGCTTGGGTGTGCAGATTCTGCCGAGCTGGGCAGAGAGAGCATTGAGCCGCATTGTCTCTGCATCGAGAGCCTGGCATTNNTGGCATTATAAGGCAGTGCGCTGGGCAATCCAACAAACCCTGGGGTAACATGCACAAGTGGTCCTTCTTGCTGTTGGACTTCAGGGCTTCTGCAGGCACGCCCTGCGGTTCGGAACAGCATCTGACGAAGCGAGAGGAGAAGGGCACTGAGAGGAAACAAAAAGAAGCAGAGAGACAGGAGGGAGCCAGAAAGAGAGAGAGAGAGAGAGAGTGTGTGTGTGTGTGTGACATGTACGGAAAGGCACATTTGCAGTATACATGCACAAGTATGTGTGTGTTTGTTCATACTATACATATATACATATATACATATACATACATATATACATATACATATACAGACAGAGAGGTATAGACATAGATACGGATACTGATGTAGATATAGAGTGATACAGGTATAGATACAGATATATACGTATATATACAGATACAGATCATAGATGCAGGAGGCAAGGAACGAGGAGGGAAGAAGAGATGGAGAGGGAGAGGGAGGGACAGGCAAAAGAGAGCGAGCCTTATTCCTGTTGTTTTTCTTCTCTCGCTCACATCTCCTCTGAGGGTGTGCACAAGCGGACCTATCATGTGTGTGTGTGTACATGTGTGCGTGCATACATACATATACGTACATACATACATACATACATACATACATACATACATACACACATACATACATACATACATACATACATACACACATACATTCATACATATACATACATACATACNNAAATTTATGTGTACAAATGTAGATATGCATTTGTGTATGTGTGTGTATATATATATACATACAGATAAGCACTCTCTCCCTCTCTCTTTCTCTGTATCTGTCTGTGCCTGTGTGCTTGTGTGTGTGTGTTAAGAGAAGGAAGGGGAAGCAAAGGCCGCGATGGCCCCCGAAATCGTACAGCACAGACCTTCTTGTCAGTTATTTGTTGATGCGAAAACCCAAGCCCCCGCCACAGTTGATGCTCATGATACCAGCTGCTGGCGCCGAGTTGTCACCCCCCCGCCCCAGGCCCCCAGCCGAAAATGAGCTCGAACGTTGTGTTGCGTGACAACTGCAGCCAGTAATTAGGGTGTATAGGTAGGGCAAGTAGGGTATCAAGAAGGGCTCGAGGGCCACTTGTGGCTGTATGTGTGCGTGATAGATGCATTTGTGCATGTATGCATATAAGCATGCATGCATGCATGTGTGCACCTGTCTATCAAAATACGAAATGACCCAGGATGTGGTCTGTGCCTCGTGGCAGATCGCCGAGAAGTTCTTGGCAGCCTGGTTGAACTTCTCTATGTCCTGACGAGATTGGGATTTCGGGGCTTCTGGTTCTGAAAGCAAGCCTCTCATGTCAAGTGTGGTTTCCACTCCTCCGGTGCAGCTGGATCGGCGTCGGAGGAAGGAGGCTTTGGGGTTGCAGACGAGGTTGGAGAAGGCGAAGACACAGGTTCGGTCTTTTTGGTCGGGGGCGGGCTCGGAGCAACTGAGGTTTCTGCCGTCAAAGCAGCCAGTCTCTGCTTGGCAGCCTGGCCGAAAAGACTAATTAAAAAGCCCAAGACCCAGGAGAACAAACCGGAAACCCAAGCCATCATCCTTTCAAGCACTAATATACAGTCAACCCGCATAACCCAAAACCCGAAGCGGCAATTGGAGATTGAACTGGGCTTTCGCGAAATCTGGACCGGAGTCTTCTATGGAAGGGTCTGAGGCAGTTCAGGTTAAGGGTATATATTGCAAAACAATGTAGGAGCATACTGTGTTTCGAAGCATAGGATAAAATAGTTGAGTCTATCTTCGGTTATCTACATAATAGACCCCCATGATGCCTGCAGCACTTCCTGGCTGGTCATGTTCCCGTCGCGGTTCTGCTGTGCCAGGAACGAACAACCACGAAGTAGGGAGTCACAAGACCACTGGCGCGAAGGAAGCCTACCTACAGGAGAAGCCATGCTCTCCTATTCGGGCGCACGGGGCACTGAAACTAGAGGCACTCGCAACTACTGTAGTTGCTTCGATCGACCGAAACGAACCGGCACGTGCAAGCAGCGGTGGCATGCTCGAAGCACGGACTGAGCACATGTTTGTAGTCCAAGTAGAGCACTTAGGGTCGGGTTTAGGGAGGTTTGAGCAGGGGCCCGGGTGTAATTTACGAGAATCTACAGACCCATCTTTTCGATGGACACGCACTCTTCGATTGTCGGTGCAGAAGACCCGATCGCTGCTCCAAGGCTGGAAACTCCAGCTACCCAGCTGCAGACAAAACGCAGCCCGAGGCTGCCCGGCTACCCCAAAGTGGTTTGAAGGCAGGCTCAGGAGGGATAGGAGGGCTCACCCAAAGTTGCGGCAAATACCCATAGGATTCCTATGGTTTTTTATGCCTTTTTCATGGGTATATACGCCGTTTTACGCTTATTCCTGTCACTGTTGCGGCTTTTCCGGTTTTGGAGCTTTTTGCGCATAGTCTTGGTTCAGAAGAGCATAGGCACGCTTCAGGGTTTTGCGGGGCGGGCTCCTTGGGATATTTGCGGGGCTTGTTTTACGCATTTTCGGCTTTAAAGTTGCTTTGGAGGCTTGGGAGCGAGGCTTCGTTTTGCACTTGTTCGGTTTGGGGTGGGATTTGTTACGTTGCGTTTTTGCTGTGGGGTCCTATGCAGGCTTGCACCACCACTGTACCTTGATTTTGCGGATTGCTTTCCTGGGTTCGGGATAGGACTGTGGGGCTTCGTAGGGATTGCAAGGAGAGGCTTCACCTAGATACCGATACCCCTTCGAAGCTGCCTTCAAACAACCACCGACCCACACTACTTGGGGACCCGAGGGACCCGAGGCTTCCTTTTCGGAGTCTCGAGAGGAGGAAGATGATAATGCCACTCCACTGGCAGCATCAACCCTACTCCCCCACGCAAGTATCGGAGCACCCTATGCATCTCAGCATCTTTCCACAAGTCCAGGAACAAGCTCTCTTCGCCCATGATGCCGGTCGCTGTGATCGCGTCGGGAGCAGGAGCCTGTGTGCTTGGTGGTTCAAGGGCAATTATAATGACTCTATAGTATTTTGGGAGAGGAACCGGGCTCTAAGATAGGTTGGGGTCTGGCATTCAGATAGTGGGAAATGAAGGATATCTGCCCGAGAAGCTGCACTTCATGTTGCTTGGATCACAGATACAAACCTCATTGCCAAAGTCCCCTGCCTTGAGGGGTTTTTTGAGCACCCCGATCTCCTTTGGGAACTCGGGCAGAATCTTCGCGAACTTCTTGGCGAACTTCGAGGGATAAACCCTGGGATGTTGAAAGGTGCAATCTGTGCATGGGGAACACTAACGAACTCACCCTACATAGCATAACTGTACATGGCAGTCACACAACACATGCTCTACTTATGTGCATACAAAGGACTGGCTCCTCTTCAGATTCTTGTTCCCCTGGAAGCACCGTTTACCAAATCTATTCTCGTAGCGGTCGACTAGCTGTACACGACGAGGGTTTTTTGGGCGTTTCCAGGTCCCTGTCGAGAAATGGCGTATGGCAGATGAATTGCTCCAGACTGTAGTCGGCTTGGGAGATGACGATCCGAAGCAGCCCATGTAGAATCGCTGCTTGTAAACCTTGAAATATGTATACACATGTGTGCTAGCTACTGTTAGCATGCCAAGAGCTCACCGGCACGCAAACGGGTCCAAGATGCTGTCGCCCTGCGAACGAGCTCCTGAAAACGAGGAAGTCGAAAGACGAGGCTGGTGCTAGGCTGTTCTAGCACCCAGCACAAGCCACGGCTCATGATCAGGTAGATCGCGAGGATCATCCTGCACGGTGTGTGGGTTTACATAACGAGATTCCGGGTGATCAGGGAATGGACTATGTGTTCATAGAACCCGAGCTATAAACCTATGTACGAAAGTAGGGAAGACAAAGAGTGGGATACTATTGCAGTCTTATGTACAGGCACTGTGCATCTGTATATTTCTATATGCACAAACATATACATATACATATACATATACATATACATATACATATACATATACATATACATATATATATGTATATATATATATTGTGTGTGCATGTATGTATGAATATAGATGTGTATACGTATACACATAACTTATATAGATGTGTATTTGTTTAGTATGTATAAGAGCACATGTATACATATACATACATATTTATATATGTGTGTATTTATTTGCTTCTAGTTTCAGCAAACAAATATGGAGTAGATGAAACTAAACAACCACAAAAACACGTGCCTGTTCAGCCGTTGGCGTGTGCATTTGTTCATACACATTGACCATATAGACCATATAGAATTATAGTGATGTACGAATACTTTTTTCGTCCTTTGCGTTATGCACATCTATATAGTTATAGTTGGTCCATGTAATGGAATCGAGAACGTTTTGTTATAGCTATATTGTTTGAGTATGGATTTTCTTAGAAGTCCTCTTGCAAACCGAGACCCTCAACCTTTGTTTCCCAAACGTAGGGATATAAACCCCAGATGCCCAGCCCCCCACGATCCTATTGGCCAATAGGTTGCCCTTCTGAACAGACGGCGCAGTCTCATCCCCCAACGGGAGAAAATAGTGTCGACGTGTCGTTCCTCGGCTGACACTCACGAAGGACGAGCACACGAGCCCGAACGTCACCACCGCTCCAGGCCGGCTCTTCAGGATCGTTGCCAAA